TCCCCATTGACTTTGCTTGTCAGAAGGTCATAAAAGGGGATAAAATGACTCCAGGACACTGCAATTGTCATAAATATGATTCCATTGCCAAATGTCTGAATTTTGATCACATGATTATGGGAATGCTACAACGGTCATAAGTGTGAAAAAGAGTCATAGGTCACTTTGAATGGTCACTAAATGAAATGTTTTAAGTCGAGGACTATCTGTACACCAGTTACAGATAAATGTTTCATGAAGAAATGGTGTTGATGAGGAGCTAATTGGTGATTATTAGCTGTGGCATCACACTGCAAACATCAGAGCCCTCTTGCAGTTGGAGAGCACTTAACGTTGTCAACAGTCCATTTTGTCCATACAAAACCTCTGATAACTACCAGCAGAAAATAAATTTTAAAATGCCTTGCTCCTAGCTAGCCTTTCACTAGCAGGATTTAATATAGGAACCTATAGAAGCTGGTGGTGAAGCATTTTGGTCTCTCAAAGAATTCTTGGGTATTCTTTTTCAAAAAAAAAAAAAGGGAAAAAATCAAAATGAAAAGCTTGGTTAATTGAGCAGAGGCACCACAGAGAATTCATTCATTCCTGAACATTTCTTAGCAGTAAAAAAAAAAAAAAAAAGAATGTAAGCATTTTCCTTTTGTTTATAGGTTGAATGTACATTTAGCATTCCAGCAGTTTATTTACTATTTCTGAGGGATGCTTCAGTGAAGCACGTAAAAATGCTTACGTGCATTTTTAGTATTCCGGCTTTTAGAATTATAATTGCTTGTTAACTTGGTTCATGATGCATTATAATTTGGTGGTGGGTGGGGTCGTTTATGCATCTGGGGTGCATTTATTTCCAAATGTAACTTATACTAAGTAAATTTATACTAAGTAAACTAAATGCCAGAGCCCTATCACTCCCTCCCCCGCCCTGCCCTCCCCCCTTTCATTGGCTTTTGCTATGAATGAAAATGTCATATAAACAGACGTGAAGACAGAGAGGCACAGTGTACGCAGAGAGGAAATAGTTAGCTTCACTACCCTGGGGGGGAAAAAAATCAAAACTCAGGAAAACATCAGCTTAAATCATTTATATTGCCCTATAAAATGCATTCCTGTGCAGATGATGATCTTGGAAAAATGAATGGATAAGGAAGATCAGAATCATCTGTCTACATATGGAAGGATCATACGTACATATACATTTTCTGGGCAATCTGTTCTTTTTATTTTCACAAGCTATAGATCATCTTAATATGGTGTCAAATTACACCATACAGTTTTTCAAAAGTTTTCATCCCATCTGAAAGAAGCTTCTGTTTTTCCACTTATTCCTGGGGAATTTGAAGTTACAACATTTTCCCTCTTTTTTTATATTTCTCCTGGTAGTTTTCTCAGTAATGTTGATCAGTAAAGGCAGCAGAGTATATCACAACAGTTTGGTATTGTTTTCATAAGCATTTTTCCACCACTTCAACAATTAAATTAAAAAAAAAACACCATCACCCCCAAAGAGGTGCCGTTGCAAACCACTAGAGGAGGATCAGGGGAAGGTAAAGTATTCTCAATGTATATTTTAGTCACTTGGTCATTAAATTGGTACAAGGATTCCATCCCAGAGAACTTCACTGCAATGTTCACTATGCAAGACATTTAAAAAGGAAACTCAAACTGAAGAAGAACTGGTAGGAAATAAGGGCAGGAATTTTTTCCTCTATACAATTCTACTTCAGGGATCTGAACTGGCAACTTTAAGACTTGTGGAGTTCAATTCCCAGGATTCCCCAACCAGCCATGTTGGCTGGGGAAATCTGGGAGTTGAAATATACCTCTATTCTACTTGACATGGTAAGAACTAATAATGGACAGTCTACACCTTCTTTTGGCCCTGTACAAATTGTAGATAAATGTGCTGTACAGATAATCCTTGACTTAAAAGAGCCAGAATCTCTGTCATAAGTCATGATGGTTTTAAGTTGAGGCACCCATGTGACTGACTCAATTTTATGACCTTTTTTGCAGCAGTTGTTAACTGAATGCTTCAGTCATTAAGCAAGTCAATGCATGGGTGTTTTTTGCTGAAAACTGGCCATAAGTGGAATGCTATAATTGGCTGTAAAGGTGAACAGGTTGCCAAGTGCCCAAAATGTAGTCATATGACCAAGAGGCTACATGCCACCATCAGAACTCCAGAATGAGGCTGTAAGTACTTTTTGTGAAGTCTGTTGTAACTTCAAACGATCATTAAACCATTGGTCATTAAACGAGGATTATCTGTATTTTAAAATGGGGTAGTTGTTTACTCACACCTTTATTATTTTCCTGCTTCATTTTTTTCAATGTCTTATCCACAGGGTATGCGGCTCTTCGACTTGGTTGTCCTCTTTAGCAAATCTTGTCTTTAACGTTCTTGTTCTAAGGACTATCGCTAGGAGACCGAAGTTGAAAAAATACAGTTTTGTTTAATACCCAAAGAAATATTGGGAATTAAAACATTGCTATGATTCACTGTGTGCTAAGAAAACAGCTTGCTTCCCAGCTTGAGCTGCAAAATAACCCAATGTTAGCCCACTCTAGCATACTGTGTGAAACCAACCATTTAGTCCATGGGACCTTCATAGTTCTTAAGTAACACATAATGTCAGAAGTGAACGAATTGTGGTTTTGAATATCTACCGTGGATAGTCCAGATTTTTAATCTTGTATCCCATGGTCTCAAGAAGTTTGCAGCAGAGGTTTTGGGTCTGGAAGGTTGATGCATGAGAGAAATCAACAATATGCCAGTGTGGAGATGGCAGTTTCTTGCATTCTTCTTCAGCTGATCGAGAAATGGCAGTTGTTAGTAAGTCCTCACTCCCAGTTCCTGTAGTGGGCTCTCTATAATTCCCGTAAGTATGGAGCTGAACAGAATGTGCTCCATTGATTCTGTGACTTAGTTTTCCCTTATTTATGCTGGTGGAATGTTAGAGTTAAAATCCCACAGACATTGATCTCCCATGGGATCAAGGCAGTGGGAGTTTATACTATCAAAATCTGTTTATGTTCAGACAATGGAAATCTTTGGTTTCTGTCCAAATTGCACTCTTTGTTGAGTGTAAGCCCACTGCAGGAGCTCATTGCCAATATGTTTTCCTTGAGAGGGAATATTGCAAAATGTATTAACTCCTTATGGGAAGGTTCAAGCTTGTCTCATTCCAGAGGGTCCATAGGAGAAATGAGCTCATCAAAGCATAGGTAGAGCCAAACTGCATTTATTTTGCACAGCACTGGAGGGATATAGCTGGAGTTACCTCTAGACTTAACGATGACTGATGATTGGATAGTTATAGAATTAGATGACTGGAGGCTAAAACATACGAAGAACAGTTGCAAGAGTTGGGTATGTCTAGTCTAGTGAAAAGACGTGATGAGCCCATGTAGTTTTTGAATTTACCTTACATTTGGCTTGTATACCTATCCAAAGTTTGCCCAGGTGACAGGGAGCTGTTCCTTCAGCACCACCCTCTATACCTGGTCATTATTACTGTGTTTATATGCGGTTATATGAAGCTATAAACAAATGATTTTTTATTGTTGCTGTTATTATTTTACAAACTGTTTTTGAAATAATATCAGTGTTCGCTTTCAGCTTATTTTTTACTTACAATATCAGGTTCTGCTGAAGGATCAATCCACACTTCATATAAAACCTAGATAACAAACTGAATCAAAATAATCAGGCATTATCTGCAGGCACAGTCTACAAGGAGGAACAATGGAACCATCTATCTTTGTTTGGAGGACTGCTTTTAAAAACTTCCAGAGAACAAGTGTGGCTTAAAAATTAAGTTTGCACCCACCCTAGGCCCTCTCCATCTTTGGTTAAATCCCAAGGGGAGATGTTATAAGCAAGCCTCTTCACTTGTAGCTCATCCTTATTAGGAAATAAAAGCAGCCTCTGTTTTGTACAGTGTAAACATTTCTGTTTACCAGAGATACTCATTTTTTCATCTGCGATAGTGACTGTTCTTAACAAATCCCTATTCCCATTTAGTATGCCTTTATCACTACGAAAAGGAGATAGGAGGAGACCTTGTCAAGGAATAGTCTGAACTCAGAACTGCTGATTGGGCCCAGGATTTTATATCTTAGAATTTCTTAGTTGTCTCTCAAGAAACATGAAGTCTCAATTTATAAAATACTATCAGGGTGGCTAAAGTGTTAGCATCTGTGTGAAACCAGCCATGGTTAGATACTTTTTGTTCCAAGCAAGTGCTGGCAAAAAACCTGCTGTTAAAAAGGGATTCCTCACCGACAACCATAGCCCTGATAATGTGATGAACTAATGGTCTACACCCCCACTCCAGGAGACAAAGAGGGCCTTTAAGTGAGGAGAAAAAAGTCCACCATCCAACCTCATCAGAAAACAAGGTGGGTGGGGTGGTGGGCCTCCCAGTTCCAAAGGAAATTATTTTTGAGCTATGGAAAACAGGACAGTCTTTGTTCTGGGCAAGGGAGTTATGTGGGCTTTGTGGGATGGTTCCTGGCCTAGATGGTATATGCTACTTGTTGCTAGATCTCCCCAAAACATGTGCTGCAAACTTTTTCCCTTGCAGCGAGATGCTTGGAGAAGGGAGAAGGGAGCTTCTTTCATCTAAGCCCCAGCAGTCCCCTCCCCTGTTTGGAAAAAGCTTTCATGTTTGTAATCAAGCAGAATCTATTGTAAAATTCAGGAGAGTTGACCATTAACTTAACCAGCCAATGGAGTAAAGCAGGGATCTCCAAACTTGGCAACTTTAAGACTTGTGGACTTCAACTGCCAGAATTCCCCAGCATGGCTGGCTGAGGAATTCTGGGAGTTGAAATCCACAAGTTTTCAAGTTGCCAGGTTTAGAGATCCCTGGAGTAAAGAATAGCTGGTTAACCACATAGTCATCCTTTTTTTCCCCCAATAATTTTTATTAAATAGTTTTTTAAAAAAACCAGATATTTACATCTTCTTCTTTTCAACATCTTCACATCAGTAATCCATATTTATACATTTTATCTTTCTTATCTTAATATATCTTTTATACATATATTTCTAGTATATCATATATATATCATAATATATTCTCTTAATCTAAATATTTTATTTAACCATATAGTCATCCTTTTAAGTGACATATTTCAATTGGCCTACATGATAGGCCAATTGCTGGAGCTCTTTTCTTAGACATACTTTTCTCATGTGGATTTCCCATGGAGATCCTTCCCAAACCCTCGTAAACCTGACCCAGAGTCTCAGAGGAAACATCCTTACTCTATCCCCAAATGCAGGATGAGCCTTTTGATTCCATAAATTCTCCTAAGCTTAGAAATGTATTTTTCTTTTTTCAAACCAGCAGCTCTTAATTTACATCCATCAATGAGTTTTCAGATGCATGTCTTCCTCTTTTTCTTTGTGCAAGTCCTGGTCACTAGAGTAAAGAAAAAAGAAATTTGTATCACCCATGAAAAAAATTAGTATACAAAAAGGATTCAATAATCCTCTGTAGAAGGAAAGATGGTGGTGTTGGAGCCTTTTTTTCTCTTGGGAAAGAGGAAAGTCTGTCAGGTGCAAATAACCAGAGGCATTTGTTGAGTTCAAAGCATAGAAGAGTTTATTATTGCTACCTCTGTACAAGAATCTAATCAACTAAAAGCTAAGTTGGCACTAGATAAGGGTCAACAGAATTCATGGGGGGCTGGACTTGGGTTTCTTGTGGCAGCACAATGACCTCAAACGTATGACACATTTAATCCCATCTTCCAGCTCAGCCTTCTGTTCTTCCACAGTCAGTGGAATAAGATAAAGAAATGTATGATAATGCATCATATGTAAAATGTAGTCTCTCTCTCTCTCTCTCCCCCTCCCTCTCCCTCCCTTCCTCCCTCTCTCTCTGTTACAACTTGAAGTACCCATTTTCACACAAGAACATACGACTCACAATTATCAGATGTGATTGCCACTAACTTAGATAGTTGTAAAAAGAACTGGACAAGTTCCTAGAGGACTCTGATAACTGCATATTGTTACCTGTATCAGAGACAATATCCCTTAATCACCTGCTGTTAGAGCACAAGAGTAAATGGCAGCTGTTGCTCTTCTTGTGAACTTCCCAGTCAGATTTATCACTTTTTCTTCTTAGACTAACACATGAACTGCAACTTTTCTAGGAGACCTTGACCTGGTAATTTTCTTCAATTCTCCAGTAGCATTCATATCAGATTATAGAAATTGTCTCTGCCTCTGAGGAGCATCTAGAACCTCCAGCAATTTGAAATGAAACATGGCAGATGGCTGCTTGAGAGAAGTCATCACCATACCTAAATCTTCAAGGAAGGCAACTTGTTCTGTCCAGATGTTTTGGACAATAGTGTCTCACCATTGCCTAGGTCCGTTAGGGCAGATAGGAGTTGAACTTTCAAACATCTAGTTTAAGGCAACCAATGAATGCATAAAGCAAGGGTGAGTAACATGTAGCCTGCACATTGCTTTGGGCTCCATTTTAAAAGCAAGTAATCCATTTATGGATCCTTTCTCTAAAAGGTTATGAGCAAAGGGAAAAAGAGGATATGAGAAAGTGATAGAGTCTGCAAAGGATCCTTTTTGCTCTCAGACTTCAGCTCACTTCATTTATACCAGATATGTAAGCTTTGCTTGATGAACCAGAGAAAAACTGGTAAGCTCTTATATTAGCATCACATATGCTTGCACTCTGAATGTACAGATGTGTCTTTACAGATGTGAATCACATTGTGTCTGATATGTAGCACAACAACTTCAAACTTCAGAATCAGTGTCTCTCTATTTTGGGCTACAGAAGACATTAGCAGCAACTTCTCAACACATCTCACTAAGCCTTGAGTCATGAACTCATGGGTTCAGTTCTTGGACTGCTTCATCTAATATTCACATGTGTGTGATTTAGATCAGTAGAACAGAGCAAGGATAACTTGCTTATTGTTATCCCTGCTCATACTGCTGTTTGAACTATCAATGATAGAGGGTGTGGAAGACACTATAACAAAATAATATAGTACCTACAGCTAAAATGGATAGCAATAGCAATAGCAATTGAACTTATATCACTCCATAGTGCTTTACAGCTCTCTCTAAGTGGTTTATAGAGTCAGCATATTGTCCTCAATAATCTGGGTCCTCATTTGGAAGGATGAAACCTGAGTCAATCTTAAACTAGTGAGAATTAAACTGCTGGCAGTCAGCAGAATTAGCCTGCAGTACTGCATTCTAACCACTGTGTCACCCTGGCTCTTTGTTCCCATTTTCTAGGCTTTATGTTTATTTTTCCAACTGATAGCCATCATTTTGTAGTTACTAAATGTGCTTCATCTTGAATATGCTGTAAAGTTTGGCTGAGGAAATGCTATCTTAAATTTATTGTTGTCCCCATGTATTGCAGCAAAACTTGGGTTCCATTGGGACACAAACATTTCTCTTGTGCTTTGCAGTAGTCCTATTTTGTCCTGAATCAGCCAGGATTCAGAATATAGCTACTTCAAAAACAAAAACCAGAATATTTTTTCCTTTGTCATTTTTGCATGGAAGAATAAACTAATGGGGTGGTCAAATGCAGAATTATAATTCCAGCTATTACAAAATGTAATAACAAAAATGTTTTTTTCCAACTTAGATTTTATGCTAATGGAAGACGGATGTCAAAGCGTAGTCTCTCTTTTTTTGCACCACCATTCTCATTTGAAAAACTATCTCTGGTTTTGTATCATTATTTACCATTGAGTGCCAACAGTTTAAGTTGAACAGCTCTGCTATCTTAACTTAGTCCTGCCAAATACTGAGAAATAAATGTTTGTATTGGGGAGGTTTGCCTGTTTTTCTAGATCGGCCACAAATCACTGCTTTCACAATGCTGTGTATCGTGAAATGTAGCAGCTGTTTGGTAGAAATGGAAGGAAATGAAGAGGGATAAGGCAGGATGCAGAGCCAAAATTACAGAAAGACGCAACCTCTTCCTTTTTGTTGTGATGCTGTTCCTTAGCTCTGGGTGGTGAGAGGCAGAAGTCGGAAAAAGTTGGCAGGAATCCAATGATCGGTCTCTTGGATTTCATTAAGGGGGTTCTGCCTATTTCCAACATTCATGCAATCCAAGTTTTGCTAAGAATGGAGAAGACACATCAACATTGTCTTTTTGTTATAGATGAAAATCTAGTAACTCTTCTGATCATTGCAACAAACAGGCAGCACAAAGCCAAAGCAGAGATGGATTTTTGCAGAAGTAAGATCTCTTGGCATCTGCTTCTCTTCTCTTTAATGCACTTATCATCATAAAATCAGTTAAGATATCTCAGGAAAGAGTGGAGAAGGAACCTTAGCAACAGTTTAATGTCACATCTAAAGCAAAATCTTGGCTTTGGGATAGCTAAACTCTTCATTTAGCCTTCAGCTTTCTTAATTAATGAGCTTGCCTCCTCAAACAGTTTTGTAAACAGTAATTAAACAAAGTTGCAAATTGTGCAATGTTCATCATTTTGTAAAGGATCAATACTGTCTTCTGATTCTGGTGTCCTTCCTTATTCAAAAAGTAAGGAAAATATAGGCAGGAGCAGAAAAAGAAAGTACAGTCTCCCTATTTGTGTCTCCCTATTTGTGTGCACACACGCCTTGCTGCAAAAAAAATGAACTAGTGATTTGTGGATTTAACAATTAGAAAGAGGAAATTATGGAAAGTAGGAAATTAAGATATAACGTTAAAAATATAAATGCACTTATAACAGCTGTTAAGAAGATTGAAAGCCATTTATTATGTTTCTCTTTTCTTCTTCCTTTTCTTCTTCTATTTCTTTTTTACTTTCTTACTACTTTTCTCTATTCTTTTTCTCTTCCGTTCAACATTTGCATTGTTTTTATTCTGTTGGAAGCTTCTTTAATAAAAATTATAAAAACCAAGTGCAGGAAAATATGCTAGAAAAAATAAAAGGGTCATATCCTTGGATATATCTACATAAAACCTAGAGGCTTCAAAAACTAAAGGCTCTGAGTTGTCAAAAAAGTTACTTTCGAGTTGCTTAAAAAGGCCAACTGTGATAATCTAATACCAGGGCTAGGCAGTTTTCTCATTCAGGTGATGAAGTGTTTTGGGGCCTGGAGTAGAGGGAGTCAGAGGTCAAGGCTATGTATGAGGGCTCTCATTGTGAGAAATGCTTTAAGAACACGTCTTCAGCATCTCTAAGAACGAGAGAAAGTGTTGCTGCCTTTGAAAGGGGTAATCTTCTGTTTATGTTCAGATTTCCCTTCCTAGAAGCCGCCTCTTGAAAGAGATGAATAACTTATTCAAAGCACAGGTGGGCTTGAGCCATTTGCCCCTGTCCCATCACCAGAAAAATAAACCATTTCTGTTTGTGCTTGCACACTCAGACACATTCAGATCTTTCTTCATTTGCCTTCCTGTGAAATGTAAAGACATTTCCTTCCTCTGCCTGATGAATTCACGAATTCCATCCCCAGCTGCTCTTTCCAGATGCATGCCATAAATTTATCAACCAGACCTTGGAAAAAAACCGGTTCCTTTTTGTTTTGCTGCTTGTTGATGCATAGATTTGCTGACTCCACCTCCACTCCATTTTCGTTTGGATGAAATCATCACCCATCACCCATCTTTAAGCAAGAAGAATTGTTTTTTTCTGGCTAGCCAGCTGCCATTTGATTGCCAGTGTCCTTAGACCTTAAAGTGTGGTGGTTTTCTTCAATCCAGCAACCTTAGGACAATATCATATTTGACACAATTAGAATTTATCCATTTGGATATGGGTATTAGACTGGTTCCCATGGAGAACTTAAAGTTGGACTCCATGTAGGCCTAAATATAATTGAACTGGTTTTAGCTTAGCATGATATACATGCATCTAACCATGGTATCTACCACCATAGTATTACAGTATCTGTAAATCCAGATAATTATGATTATCATTCTGATTAAACCAACCACTACATGACTAGGTGTACCAGTCACCATAATTATAATTGTTATAATTAAAGGGGAAAGTAAACCCAAAAAGTTTAGGAAAAGAGAATAAATCAATCAAAATATCACAGGTAAGTGATGATTTTTGAGGTTCTAGCAGATATTGCCATTCCATCTGATATTCACCCAAATTTCATTGCCATGGCTCTGTCTTGTGCACTTGGTAACTTTGGACTGTTTGGGAAATTTAAAAACTCTTAGATTATTTTTCCCAACAATTTGACTGGCATTTCTGCTAAGTTGGAGGATCCCTGAATCCTATTGATATGTGTAACCTATGCATTGATTTTTCCATTTGGACTATATGAACAATATGAACAATTATACTAAATATTGCATCTCCTCCTCCTCCTCCTCCTCCCCCCCCCCCGCAAGCCCTGTGTGGAAAGTCCTTTGCATCTCCTCTATGACTATGGTGTCCCTTGTCTCCAGCA